CCCCAAAACCCCAAAACCCCAAAACCCCATATAAATAGATTAAATAAAGTTAGAAAGTATTGGAAATCTGGAAATATATTAATTTTGAGTCTAAGAGGATTTAATTTAATAAGATTTAGCAGAGCTTTTAAAAGAAAGATTCTACTTGCTAATTATTTATTCCTTATAATTTGACTAATGAGCGAACTTCAGAATAAAACCTCAACTCAAGGTACTTAACTGCTTATTTATTTTGCTAATAGACAACAAGTATTTCAAACACCCTTGTCTTGACCCAAGAAGCAATAAATGCACAGCTGATGAATATTTCAAAGAAATTGCCTACCAAATAGATCTATAAGGTATAAATTCACACCATTTACATCTTAGAATTGTATAAGATTGTTGGCACCTGCTATTATTAAGATGATATGATATATTATCCAATCATCTTAGAAATAATACCTCAAAAGGTTATAGATTCATTTAATGGATGCAAATATTTGCTTTAAGTTTGGAATAAATAGAATGAAAAAATATTCCAACTTCCCTTAAAAAGTACTTTAACCTTTTAATAATTAAGAATAGAGTATGTCAATATCTGGGCGATATGTAATCAATACTTCATTTACTAAGTTGAAGAAGATGAATCAGCTCCTGGTTAAGGTGTATTGACCATTGTAAACTTTGAAAAAGAACAACATACAGTTAAGATTTAGAATTTCACAAGAAATCTCACCAGTAAATAACAAAATTTTAATCTTCATAATTCAATAGAACATATAAGCTATAACAGTGGAGTATTGATAGAGGCAAGCGATAACTAATTTCAAGCAATTATGCTAAATGAGACTGTTTTCGATAATAATTTTACAACAATTAACGCCCTAAACCAAAAAATCAGAAAAGTATCAACAGATGTCAAAATCTAAGCATTATTCATTCTTGAACCTTGTAGAAATAAGAACTTTTCATACATCTGCTTTGAAACTGATGACGCCATTTTGGACTTTAATAGAATTTTTTTAACAAACATTGACTCAGAGGATGACTCTTTATTTTCATATTCTTTCGAATAAATTGGAGAAATCAATCATAGAGGAACATGTATTAATGATCCGATCGTTAAGATTGTCATGGTGTTCATTAAGACCTTCAACTACACAATAGCTTAAAGAGCTTCTGGAGGAGTTGATTTATATTGGAATTTAAGAATGAAGGACACAATTGAAAAAAGTAAATATTTAGCATTATAAAAATAATTTTAGACCTTGTTTCTGACATTGCTATAAGTTTAACATCTCTTTACTTCAAGATGCAGGATGGAACATATAAATACTTTGATCATAATAGTAATGAGGATATATCATTTGATCAGGCAGTTGAAATTTCAAATGATTAGCTCAAATTTGATCAAATTCATGTTAGAATCGTCCAAAATATAGTTAAAATCTATTCTGGAATGAATATGGTTCATAATAAAGATACAGGAAAAACACTTTATCTCATATCTCACGGCAAATTCCTCTCTGTCTTCGATATTGATTATATGACTTGGATTAATCATTTATAGTTTGAAGAAGAAATTTTTGCTATATTCAAGAATAAAGTTTCTATATTATAAGATGATAATATAGTTGATAATCGAATTCTATAAGAGGATTCTGACGATAATTATATTTCAGACTTCTAGGTCATTTTGACAAATGGTGATATTCATTAGTAGATTCTAGAAATTTACGAGTAAAATGAGATTGTTTCGTCAGAGAGATGCAAGATCAGACTTTAAGGTAAAGTGCTAAGACTTTCTGAAGATATTATCTTGAATCGCAGCATTTTTATAGTTTTTAAACAAGAAAACTAAGACATATGCCTAAAGTAAATTAGAAATGACAAAGCATATGATGTTTAAATTCCGAACCCACTTAAGAACCTAAATGCAATCTAATATCAATTTAGAGATAAATAGTTAGCTTATGTACTTATTCAAAATGGGATAAAACTGTCTCTCTACAAATTGATACTAAATAAAGAAGGACCTGGCTAGTTAAATTTATAGCTACTTCATTAACTAAATGGGGGTGATACTGTAACTGGAACCATTCACGCAATAACATCATATGACATTGAGAATCATTTAATCGTGGTGGATGAATTAAATATGTATGTTTACAAAATTTTAGAAGCAACTTGGAAAATTTACTCAAAATAGTATTGTACTGGCCTATCTTACTTCGATAAAAATACAAGTTATATGATTTGCTAGCAAAATCGTCGTTCAATTAACCCTGGGCTAAGGATGCTTGATATGGAGGCATTAATATCTAAAGATCGCCTAGTAGCCCCACTTCTTAAAGATGTTCAAATTGGTGCAAGAGTAAATTTCTACTATGATTATGTATTCGCCCGACTTAGTTTTATCTAATCAATCACTAATGCCTTAATCTTCCCAGTTCTGCATTGGAACTAATTTAATTTCATGGGATATCAAGGCTAAGGAAATTATCTATGCTATAAAGTTATTGGAGATAAATTTATAGCTTTACAGAGTAATGGTGTGCTGTAATCTTGGGATATGATATCAGCTAAACTTCATGAAAAGATACAATTAGAAGTGAATGATTATAGTGGTTATTCATTACATTCGACTAATCGAATGGATGCAGTGTTGTTATCATCAAATTATTTGAAACTGATGGTGCATTATAAAAGCTATTCTGACTTCAACTGACTTTAATGTTTCTATAATATGCGGTAGCCCTTTAATCAGTAATAATAACTACAAATCAAGAAACTAATTTGGTTACTGGAAACCCAACAGCAAGTCAAGAACAACAATAGGGGTGGTTAAATATTTAACCCCATTAATCAGTAAAAAATTCTGACGAGTTTTTCGAGCCTTGGCAATTGAAAATAACTTTACCTAATCAGAAACCTAATTGCAAGTCCCAGGATTTCAAAATTAAAAACTTTAAACTTATTGAAATAAAAAATACAAGAGAAGTTATTGAGCATCTAAATTTTGACTATCCAAAGTATAAGTCTTTTTAGGCGATGACTGTGAGTAAAGATAAGAAAAGACTCTTTGTTTAGTTTATAAATTTCAGATGCAATCTTTATCAATTTATAAAAATAAGCGATAATCCAATAAAATATAAAGCAGAGCTTATTAGAAAAGTAATAGATTTCTCCTCAGCTTTTGAATTATAATGGTATCAATACTTTTCTCCAAACTTTTAGAGATATATAACGATGGACAAAAAGAAAACCAAATTTCATATTAAAGATTTTACAACTGGCCAGTTGCTTTATGAAATTCCTCAAGATCTTTTGGATATAAGCTCAGGTTAAAATCCTTCTTAAGTTATTAACAGATTTGACTTTTTAGATGAAGAGAGATTCAAAATTGTTAGCGAAGAGGGCATTGAGAAAATATTGCATATTGACAGTGGATTTAAAGAAATAGCTTTTAACTATATCCCTCTATTTAAAGACATTATGGAAATTGAATATGTTTCCTATTCATACTACCGATCAAGAAGCATTTATTATTGGCCGATTGTTAATTTACTCCAATATACCTATCAAAAATATAAATCATTGTACAACTTAGAGGGTAAATAAACATTCGAGTAAATGAATCCTTTGATGTTTACAATAGATATTGATTATACCGATAGAAGCATTGCTCCATTCACTTTTGCTCATTGGAGTTTAATTGAATAAATTTAGCAAGGAAAGCTTAAAATTGAGGAGTTACAAGAAAATGTAGTAAGAGAAATAATGTAGTAAGAGAAATTCTTTACAATATTCTACCAGGTGGGAATACTGCACTTCATATGCTATCTGATAACCATGACGAATTATCAAAGCTTCTTAGCATTGCTCATCCTTAAGGAAAAGAAATTAAATTTCATATGCCATTCATTTCCAACTTAGATGGAGAATCTCCTATACATCTCTGCATTAAAAAATAAGCCTTTAAAAACATAGACATTATGTTGAATTGTCTAAGCTTATACCCAATCGATCATCATTCCAGAACTATTAAAGATCTTTATCCAGATTTCCTTGAGTTAAAGCTCCATAATTTCCTAGACTATATAGATTCAAGAATTCAGCAAACTTAGTAATTAGAGCAGATAAACAAAGGTGCCCTTAAAGAAAATTACCCAGAAATAATTATTTAAGATCTTTGGTTTGATGAAAAAGCTTTTAAATAACAGATTTTTACAACTGGAGCAGTAGAATCAAGGATTAAGTGTGAAATCCTAGATATGCCTGGTATTTATCATATGAAAGATTAAGATTTTAATTCGTAATTTGAGCAATTTGCAAAGACTTTACAAAACTCCTTCTAATAAGAATTAACATTTATTTAAGACTGATCAATCCGACTGCTTTAATAGGAAAGCTGTAAGAAAGCTTATAGAATTTAACTATCCTTTGGTCAAGGAATATATTTTGAAGAAACTATTTCTGCCATTTTGCTTGTTTCACCTCTGCTTTGTGATCAGTATGAACTTTATTTTTGAAAATAGACACTTAAATGGCTTCAGTTAGGTATACTACCCATTATTAATCTTAAATGCTATTTTTGCTACATATTTCTTGTCAAATGAGATGAAATAACTATACTCAAGGTCAGATTATTTCTAAGATTTTTGGAATTATATTGATATTATTCCTCCAATAGGAATCTATGTTTTTATAGTTTCAGCAATATGCAATGACTATGGAATATAATTTGGTGATGATGTTGACAGAAGTATACAATCAATTGTTACTTTCTTTATGTGGTTTAAGTTCCTTTATTTCTTGAGAATTTTTAAAAGAACTGGTTATTTAATCAGAATGATCT